AATTGGGAAAGTTACTGGATTTATATCCAGAGAAATGGAAATCAACAAGTTGAAGGGATACCTGCACTCCCATGTTTATGGTGGCTCTATTCACAACAGCCGAGTTTGAACCAATCTAAATGTCCTTCAACGGATGATTGGATAAAGAAAACGTGGTACACAGACACAATGGAATATTACTCAGCCATAAAAAAAAGAATGAGGTTCTATCATTTGGAGCAATATGGATGAGCTTGGAGAAAATTATGTTAAGTGAAATCAGCCAGGCACAGAGGGAGAATACCACATGTTCTCACTCATACGTGGAAGCTAAAAAAATTGATCTCTTAGAAGTAGAACATAGAATGGTGGTTACTAGAGATGGGTGGGGAGAAGGGGGAAGAGGGATGAAGAAAGGGTGGTCAGTGGATACAAAATCGAGAGACAGGAAGAATGGGATCTAATGTTCTATAGTAATACAAGGATACTACAGTTAACAAAGTACTGTGTGCCTTTGAATAGCTAGTTGAGATGATGCTGAATATTCCTAACACGAAGAAGTGACAAATGTTTGAGGTGATGGATATACTAAGCCCCCTGACAGGGTCACTGCACACAGTACGAATGTACCCAAATACCATACTATACTCCATAAATATATACCATTATCAGAGGTCACTTAAGAGAAAAAAAGAAATATAGAACAGAATAGTGTTTAACAGAGGCAGGGAAAGGAGAGAGGGGACAGGGAAAGGTTGGTAGACCAGCACAAAGTTACAAAGTTATAGTTAGGAAGAATTAAATTCTGGTAATCTAGGGTTACAATAGCTAAAAATATTGTATTGTACATTTCAAGATAGCTAGAAAAGAGGATCTTGAATGTTATAACCACAAAGAAATGATAAATGTTTAGATGACAGATAAGCCGACTATTCTGATTAGATCATGACAGAATATACGCATGTAGTGATGCAACAAACTGTACTCTATAAACATGTACAATGAAAAAAATAAATTAAAAATAAAACAGGGCAATGTATTTGAATAGATATTTCTCTAAAGAAAATAAACAAATAGCCAATAAAACCCTAAAAAGCGGTTCAACATCATTAGGGAAATACAAACGAAAACTGTAGTGAGATACCACTTCACACTCACTATAAAGGCTATGATCAAATACGGGGATAACAAGTGTCAGTGAGGATGTAGAGAAATCAGATCCCTCATACATCACTGGTGGAAAGATAAAATGGTGCAGCTACTTTGGAGTACAGTTTGGCAGTTCCTCAAAAGCTAAATATACAGTTTTCATATGACCCCGTAATGTACATATATGTACTATGTACTCAAGAAACTAAGAACATACATTCACACCTAATTAATTAGGGAGAAAAATATGTTAGAAGAACACCATCAGGGTCATTTGACAAAATTCTTTGACACATTCAAAACAGATTTCCTAGAAGCATTTTCAGATGAAAATTCCAAAGAAAATTTTATACCCAGATTAAATAGTTTTCTTCTTACTATAGTTGTAATTAGCTGTGAACTTAAAACTAGTCTAAAAATTGTGGTATAATATGAAATATATCTGGTCTTTGTTCCTGGTTCCTGTCACAGAGCTCCTAAAACCCTTGAAAATTTCTAAGTGGTAGGAGTGTGTTTTGTTATTCAAAATGAGCGCCTTTCACAACATCTGTGTTTATGCTAGTGAGATGACTACATAGCCCAAGAGGGGCTAGTCACCAAAAAAACCAAGTGATTTGAGGATTAGAGGGTTGGAATATTGCCAACCACCAACCTCCAGGAAAGGGATGGGGGAAAGGAGATTAAGCTCTATAAAAACTTTTGAACAAGCACATTTGAGGAGCTCCTGGGTTGGTGAAGGGGCGGAGGTGCTGGGCAGGTGGCGCAGGTAGAAAGAGTTAGAAGCTCAGTGCACAACCACCACCCCATACCTTGTCCTATGCATCTCTTGGATCTAGCTATTCCTGAGCTGTATCCTTTATAATAAACCAGTAAATGTAAGGAAAATGTTTCTCTGAGTTCTGTGAGCTGTTCTAGCAAAGTGTGAAACCCAAGGAAGGGGTCATGAGAACCCCTGATTTATAGCAGGTTGGTCAGAAGTACCAGATACCTGGACTTGCAACTGGCATCTGTGGTGGAAGCAGTCTTGTGGGCCTAAGCCCTTAACTTAATTTGTGGAATCTGAAGCTATCTCCAGGTAGACTGTCAGAATTGAACTGAACTGCAGGACACCCAGCTGGTGTTCAGAGTGCTGGAGAATTCCTTAGTATGGAAAACCCCACACATCTAGTGTTAGAAGTGTTGTGCGAAAGTGTAGAGAAATGTATTTTCCCAAAAATAAAGCCTGTTAATATAAAGAGATTAACAGAAAGGCATGGCCATTCAACACTCTGTGGGACAAAGTAAATTTCTCCAGGATGATGCTGTATAGTGTGAGTTCTCCTGGAGTCGTGGTCACAGTGGCCCTGACTGCCCCACCCATGGCATTTTATTTGCCCCTCTCACCTAGGTTATGAATTCTTTAGGGTGCTATGTCATATTCATTCTATTTTCTCTGGAGCACCTAGTATGCACTTGCTGTTTGCTACTGTTGAATAAAGAACTACTTCAAGGCTAAGATGGAAGGGGTCCCTGTGAAGAGAGTAGGTATTATAGATTTGATCCCATTTTCTCAGTGTATGCTCCACAACATACATTTCAAGCACCACATTCCACAACTACATCCTCCTATCAATACCTCAGTCCAACTAGGAGCTATGATCTGCTCACTGAACAATCTCTCTACTCTCCTTCACTCCCTTTATGTCCTCCCCTCAAGCTTGGATTCCATGGTCCACCATTACAATCACTACTGTGCATATGCCTCAACTCCCTCGGCTCCTCTCCCTTGATGGTGGTTACCTAGCAAAATCCCAACCCCTGGTTAAATCTAACACTCTTCCTCCTTCTCGCTTGAAGGCTGCTGGATTAAAAAACTGGCCTGTTCCTCTGGGCTCACATTTAACTTACAACCGCTATCCTTAATCCTGCCAAGAGTAACTCTACGATATTCCCTAATCCACCCACTCTCCCCATTCCTAGACAACTACTTCTTGCGTTCTCTTCAAAGCTATAAAACCTTTTCCTCTACTATCATTTTCAGAAGATAATCTTGGTTCCTGTCATTGAGAGAATGTAGAAACAACTAAAAGAATTTCCACAAGGGCTGACTGCCACATCTACTCACTTAACAGCAACTGTTCCTGAACACTCTGCATTCCCTCCTGTCCTTGACCTTGTCTAACCAACCCATGTGTCCACTACAGCCTATTCCCACAGCCCCCTAATATCACCTACACAAACCAATGTCTCCTCTCACCTCGGCATCATCAAATTTTCCCTCTCCACTGGATCAGTTCTGTCAGCACCCAGGGATGCTGTCATCTGTCCTTTCTTAAAAGACTTTTCCCATCCACATCCTCCTCCTCCAGATACTGTCCAATTCTGTCCCCATCAGAGTAGTTTACATGCACTGTTTCCAATCCTTCTCCTCCTAACTTCTGTTATACCTACTCCAATTATCTCTTGCACCCATGAATCCACCAAAACTGCTTGTCAATATCCCCAGCAACTCCATGTTACTAATTCCAGTGGTAATCTCTTAGACTCCCTTTATTCAACCTATTTGCTGCAATTGGTCATTACCACTGCCTTGAAAAGCTTTCTTCACTGGGCTTCTAGAACCTCATCCTCACTGGCTACTGTTCATTAGTCTCCATCATCAGTTCCTCCTTGACCTACAAACCCAGAAGTGCTCAGTCCTGGAACCTCTTCCTTTCTCTACCTATACTCACTATCATGTCCAGTTTAAATAACATCTGTGCACTAATGACCCCCATGCTTTTACCTCCAACCTCTCCCTTGAATTCCAGACTCATATATAACTGCCTATCTGACACCTCCACAGGGAAATCTAAAAAACATCTCAAATTCAGTATACTTAAATGCAATTCCCGATTCCCACCCCTACACCTGGTCCCCCTATCTCAATAAATGGCAAATTCACCTTTCTGGTTCCTCAGACCCAAAATATCAGTCATTCTTGACTCTTCTCTTTCTCTAAAAACTCATATCTAAGTTCTCAGGAAATCTAGTTTGGCACTACCTTCAAAAATATATCCTGAATCTGACCAATCTTCACTACCACACTGCTGGCACCCTGGTCCAGCCCAGATTACCCAAAAGACTACTCACTACTCTCCCCACTTCTGCCCTTGCCTTCCGTTCTCCATACACTACTCTTCGGCTTCACACCCTACAAGGCCCTCCATATTCTGGCACCCTCCACCTGACCTCAATTTCCACCCAAGCTTCCCCTTCACCACCCTTATTATGGGTTGAATTGTCCTAACCCCCAGTACCTCAGAATGTAACTGAATTTGGACATAGAATCTTTAAAGAGGTAATTTAGCTTAAATAAAGTCACTGGTGTAGGCCCTAATCCGATATGATTGATATCCTTATAAGAAGAGGAGATCAGCACACAGACAGACACAGAGGAAAAAACATGTGAGGATATAGGGAGAAGACGGCCATCTAACAAGCCAAAGAAAGAGGCCTCGGGAGAAACCAACCCTGCAGACAGACTGATCTTGGACTTCTAGCCTCCCAAATTGTAAGGAAATAAATCCTGTGTTGAAACCCTCAGCCTATGATACTTTACTATGGCAGCCCAAGCTGACTAATACAATCTGCTTCCTCACATTCCTTACTGTTCCCTGAATACACCAAGCATACCCTTGCCCAGGGCCTTCTGCTTTTGCCTCAAGGCAGTTAGGTATTATATCCAATTTTCAGCTGCAGACACTGAGGCTTAAGGATTAAATTACTTGCCTGAGTAAGAAGCAGGGGAAAAATTGAAATCAAACTTTATCTGGTTCTGTGATCTGTAGAAAATGTCTCCACACTTTACTAATACCAGATACATAAAGAAAAAAATAAGAGAAACTACTTACTTTTCAACCCAGAGCACTGAAACGAGCTTTACCCCTCTCTTCTGAGCTTTGTCCCAAGTGCTCTGGTATCCATCTTTGAATACAACGTGAGTTACTTGCTTGTTAAAAGTTTTTGAAACCTGTACACAAATGCAAAAAACAAAATGCACATTACTACTCACTCACAATTTCTTAAGTGAAAGTAATCAGAAAGATACTTTATTCGATATTTGTCAAAATAAAAATGTTCAAAACCCCTACCCCAGCAATTCCATTTCTCACAATCTATCAGAGAAATACTCTAACGAATGCTTAACGTTGTTTAAAAACATATCTGTTCCAATTAGAATGGTGTATCATACACGTATTTATTTCTACTCCCTCTCAAAAAACCTCTGAAGTGCTACTAAGAAATAAAAGAGTGCGAGCCCTACAAGGATAAAGAAACAAGAGCGAAAAAGAGGACAAGAGAAAGCACCATATTTTTAATAGATGGAAAAAGTGGTACCTGAGTCCTAAATTAAGGACATTTAACAAAAGCTTTCTATACCAAAAATAGAAAAAAATAAAAATAAAATAATTTAAAAAACGAAATTCAGAGTAAAGAGAGATAATAAACACATATTTAATAAAAATTAAAAACACTATCTTCAGAAGATACTGTATTCATGCAATAAGATCAGAAGATTATTTTTATAAAGGATTCTAAAGAGCTCTTGGAAATTAAAAATGATGACATAAGTTAAAAAAATAAACTGCAGAAATATTAGACAATGAAGTTGAGAAAATCTTGGTAATAGAACAAGACCAAAAAGATACACATAGTAGGAAATAAAAGATAAGAACATCAGAAGTTCAGACCACGATATCCAACAGCCATTTAACAAGAGTTGAAAAAAATAAAGGAATACAGTAAATGGAGAAGAAATTATAAAAGAAATAATCAAAGAAAAATTTTTGAAATTAAATGACATGCATCCTAGATGAAAAAAATTCCCCCCAAGGCCCAGCAAAACAATGAAAACTGTGCCATACCAAGCACACTGTCATGAAATTTCAGCATAGCTGGAATAAAGAAAAATATTAAAGGAGTGGGTAAAGGGGGTTAAAAGGTAGCTATAAGTCACATTCAAACAATGAGAAATGACAACATAATCTCACGTATCAACAGCAGTCCGGAAGTTAAAAAACAATGGAAAAATGCCTTCAAGGAAAAATATTGTATGTGTTAGCATTTTACAATCAGCTAAAATATCAATCAAAGGTAATGGTATAATAAAGGCATGTTCGGACACTGATGGTGTCAAAAATTTACCTGTTATGTGCCTGTTAGAGTGAACAGGACTAAAGCCACGTTGGGACCTAAAACCACAAGGGCTATAAAAGATTTTAAAAAGACAGTTTTTCTCTTGGCACGCATTTCTCTGAGTTCTTCCCTCTCTTCCCATGGTTATTTGTTATTTTGAACCTGGCAGATTCTTTTCCTTTAATAAAGCTTGATCGGTACCCAGCGTTTCCGCTCACTTTCTTTCAATAACTACAAAATTTACAAATGAGTCTGATAAGTTTTCAGGTGGATATGCAAAAAATTAACTGCATTTCTATATACCCACAACAGTAAGAAAAAATGTTTTAAATGCCATTTATAATATTAAAAATTATCAGAGAAAATTATAAAACATTATTGAATGAAATTAAAGAAACCTAAATCAACAAGGCACCTATCATGTTCATGGATTGGAGGATTCAACATATGTCAGCACTCTCATACTGATCTATTGTATGAATCCAATCCCTAGAAAGCTTAATAGTGTAAATTGACAAACTGATTCTAAATATATTCCGGAAGGCAAAAGTCTAAGTATAGCCTAGATACCTTAGAGAACAAAGTGGAAGGCTTATGAAGATTTATTATGAAGTGTAATTAAGACATGGTGGTTTTGTAATGAGAACAGAAAACAGACCAATAAACAGAGAGCCCCAAACAGATTGAAACATATATGGATACCTGATTTATGACAAAGATAGTACTACAGCTTGGGTAAAGGACAGTCTTTTCAACAAATGGTGTTAAGACAAATGGATATTCACATGGAAAAAAATAAAACAATTATTTCCTATCGTCTACAAGAATCCATTCCAGCTGTACCAAAAATCTAAATGTGAAAGACAGAAGGATGAAGCTTCCAAAAGATAACAGAAAATCTTCATAACCTTGGTGTAGAAAGTTTTGAAAATAAGACACACACAAAGGTTTATCATGAAGGAAAAAATAACAAATTAAATTACATTAAAATTATCATCAAAAGACAACATTAAGAAGATGAAAAGAAGAAGCCACAGAGTAGCAGAAATAAGGCAATTCATAAGGCTGACAATGGGGTCAATTCTAAAATATAAAGACTACTTACAAATCAAGAAGAAAAACCCAATGGAAATATCAGCTGGAGGCTTGAATAGGCACTTCAAAATAAATACATGAAAAAGTGCAGGAAAATGCAAATTCAAACCACAATGAGACAGAAATACATCAGAATTGTTCAAAGTAAAAACTGACAAAATCAAGCATGTAAAGCAATGGAAACTTTCATACATGGGCAGAAATATAAATTGATCCAATCCCTTTACACTGTACAGAGAAATAAAAATAAAGCAAGTATGTTAAGATGTTAGCAACTGTTAAATCTCTGTTCACTGTATTATTCTTTCAGTTTTTCTCTTTAAAAATTTTCAAAATAGAAGGTGAAAAATAGAAAGATAAAGCTCCAAGATCTTAATACGACCCTCAAAAACCATTTTGCCAATTCACATGCTCAATGGCTTTTTTCTCAGCCACAATAACTTGTCTTCATCCCAAGTAACTCTTAGACATCATCAGACAGAAACTCCCTCAAAGTTCCTACATTCCAATATATCAAGATAGGGTGTGCCTCCTCTCCTGCAAAAGTAGGGCCTACTCCGAAATTCTGATTCCTGTCTTCCACCTCAGTCTGTTCTTAGCCTTTGATCTACCACTCAGGGCAGGGACCAGGGAGGCCAAACAAGGCCCTTAAGATGTAAAATTCAGGCGCACTCACTCTGCCTAAGGGAGAGTGTCCCTTAAATTTTATGCCCTGGACACCTCTCTTGCCTCACCCTAATCTTGGCCCTGTCTTCAATGATCTGCTCACCCATTTTAATTTATCCCTTACACTCAGCCTATCAGCCAGCCCCTCCCAAATGACAAAAAACACACAAATACACTGTGTTCACAGCTGAACTCCCTAAAAAAGTAGTTCACTACCTCCATTTCTTCATATCTCAATAATTCCTGGACTAATTAGGATCCCCTTTACCTATTTCACTGAAAACTGAACTGAAAGTTCAACAACAAGCTTACAGTTTTCACATCTAAAGTATACCTGCCAATCTTATTTTTCTTGAAGACTGCAGCATTTTAAAATTCCACCTTTGAAATTCTTCTCTTCTTTGACTTACACACTTATTTTCCTCATTCTCCTGGCATTCTTCTCTATCTTTGTCTTTGGGTCCCTTCTCCTATCACCTGCCCTTGAATACTGAACAGGGCTCCTCCTACAGCACTTGTCATTCTAACCATGTCCCGAGTGGGACGACATCCACTTCCACGGTCTCACCTGACCCCTATGGTCTTGACCCCCAAAATGATTATCTACAGGCTTAATTATCTCAAGTTCCAGATTTCTCTATCCAAAATCAGGTATTTTCAATGTGCCCAAATTTACAACCTTTCACTTAGAAACCTGTTCCTTTTCCTGTATCCATTGTTTTGATTAGTACCATTTTTGATTTAGTACCACGCACCCACAGGACCAATTTCAGAATACAGGTTTTCATCCTAGATTCCTCCTTCTCACTCAATGCCTTCTACACCAAGGATCTGTAAGTCCTACCATTCTAAATGCTTCATATTTTGTTTTTCCTCACCACTTATTCATTGCCTGTCTTTCATGTTCTAAGTAACAATTCCCAAAATAAGAAAATGCAAATGTATTTCTTTATATATCAGAGTGCAATTATATACATCAATAATAATATGAATTTCTTACCTTTGCCCCCATATCCACAAGTTGGTTTGCAAATGTCTTTGAATAATTTTCTGTTCCATTCGATGACCACACTTCAACATAGGCCACGACATCTGCAAACAAGATATTAGCATCCAGTATCCCTTGCCCAATACATTTTTCTCTTGCTCTATTTATAGTAAAAAGAATATTGAAAATTTCTTCTATTAACAGCCTATTGATTATAGTATTCGTGCAATGTACGGTTCTTAAAATTTCAAACAAATAACAATTTTAGTCATACTCTTAAACTAGGTTTAGTTTTTCTAGTGCAGGAGTCTGTCTTCTGTAAAGTGACAGACAGTAAACATTTTAGGCTCTGTGGGCCATACAATACCTATCACAACTACTCAGCTTCAAGGTCATAGCACAAAACTAGCCATAGGATTTGTGTTAATGAACCAACATAACTGTTCCAATAAAACTTCATAAGCAAGGAAACTCGACTTTGATGTAATTTTTGTCATTCTTTTTAACAACCTAAAAATATAAAAAACATTCTTAACTGCAGGCCCTTCAAAAACAGGCAGCAGGCTATATTTGGCCTGGGGGGAAGGGGAATAGCTTGTGGACCCTTGTTCTAGCGACTACCTTATTCTCAAAACCTGATGTTCTGCTGCAGGCCCTTCAAAAACAGGCAGCAGGCTATATTTGGCCTGGGGGAAAGGGGAATAGCTTGTGGACCCTTGTTCTAGCGACTACCTTATTCTCAAAACCTGATGTTCTAAAATAATTTTCCAGGTGTGCAATTGGTAAATTAACATAAGCAAAGCAAAAGGAAAGCCCGGTTAAATGAACTACTAACAATGGAAAAATAGTCACATCTCATCTGTCTTGTCTTTTAGCTATAAGGTTTTATACTACTTCAGGTCCCTCAATACAGAGCCCCTTTTCCAACGCCAAACTCTGCAACACATCTGTCACTATTCCCATCTTTCTCAGCTCTTAACAGGTGTACGGTGAGCGGAACTGGGAGCAGTACTGTACTCCTCTAATGGTTAGGAGGGCAGCGCAGATGCTCCAATCTTGTGGGCACTGACTAGCCGGGAGAAGTGCCTCGACTCCTCCGCCTTAATTCCCCCACCAGCTTTACAGGTGGTGTAATACCGCACCGTTCAGTGCGGTGCCCCGCACACAATAAGTCCTCAATAAAAGGCCGCTCCTGTTATTACAACAGGAGAGTCGGCACTTCTTTTCCTAATCCGCCCATCCGGCCATTCAAATGCGCGAGGCCCTTGAGGAAACTGAGTCTGCCGCTTTCCCGGCCGTGTCCCCGCCGGCAGGCTGCGCCCGTCTTTCTCCGAGCCGCCCCCCCACGAAGTGCCGTCCCCGCGTCCAGGTCGACCCCGGGGGGGTCACGGTCTCCAGATGTCCACGCCGCGTGCGCGTGTGGAGGGGAGCGGACAGGCCGGGGGTGACAGGAGGGCGGGAGTGGGGACAGGAGGGCGGGAGTGGGGACAGGCAGCCGGGGCAGGAGCGAGCGGAGGGCTGCCCCCAGCAGCACCCCTGAGCGCGCCCGCGACCCACCCGCTGTCGAGGCAGGGCGGCTCCGCGCGCCCAGACAGCGGGGGATACCCTCACCTTTGAGGACGGGCACCGGCGGGGCCCCGCAGGTCGCCATCGCAGGTAGCGGCTCCGGACGGCGGGCCGGAAGGAAGTGGAAAGGCGACACCGGGCGTGTGAGGGCGGAAGGGGCGGGGCGGCCCCGGGCATGCGCGGGATGCGCTTTCCGGTCCCCTGCGCGCGCTTTCCCGTCCCCTGCGCGCGCTTGCCGCGCCTCTGCTCCTCCGGGCGGCGAGTATCCCTGTTGTCCAGGGAGTTCCAAGATCGGAAGTTCCGTAAAGCCCGAGTTAAACCCTTTTGTTTTGTAAGGTGACTGATCCGCTTTCCAGCGCCTCACCAGGGCTCACGGACGCTCCGTGAGACGTCAGAGTCTGACTTCGCTTAGAACTCTCACACTTTAAAGTCACCCTCAGCCCGGCCACAATGCGGTCTCGTTAACGGTGACCTGTGGTCAGCGCGCGGAGATGCCACTCAGGGCTGGACCCTCGTCCCTCCTCTGCTCGGCGCGGCTGCGCGCAGGGTCAGGCCGCGCCCTGGGCCACCCCGCGACCTCAGACTCCGCGGGGTATCCACGCGCTCAGCGGCCCTCCTGAAGCTCCGCAGCTGGCAGATTCCAGATCACGATGCCCCCGGCCTGAGTGGGCGCGCCCTGGCGCTCCGGAGCGGCCCTTTCCTGCCGTGCTCCGCGCTCCCGCCCGCGGATGCCGGCCCCGCCGTCCCGGGCACCGACCCCGACCTCCACTGGGTGCACCTGCTGGAAGCCAGAAGCTTAGGCAGGTCAGCACCCCAGCTCCCCCGGACGGCAGGAGAGCTGGGACAGTCTTGCTCCTCTGCTGGTGAAAGTTACCTGTTTAATCTCCCTGAAACACAGATCAGTTAAAGGACCCTGTTTATTAAAACACGAGTCCAATGTGTAAAAACTTTGCCAGTGAGTTCAATACCATCTTTATGTTCCATCTTGGAGAACATATTCTCTTCTCAAGTTTCATGAAAAAGTCTTTACAACCTAGTGGTTAGTGCATGTTCCACTTTGGAATCAGACTGGACCTAGTTTGGGAACTTGTATCAGCCGCTAACCAGTGTCAAAAGGCAAAATTACAACAAATTTGGTTTAAAGATCTCAACTGGCTTTATTTGTGATTCTAGAATCAAGCAACACTTCATGCCATGAAATAGGGTTAAGTGTTACAATGAGTCTAGCAGAGGAGGTTGACTTTATAGAGAGAAAAAAAGCTGAAGAAAGCAGAAACGAAGAACCAAAGGCAGATTGATTATTTCAGAGTTACTTTCCTTGTAAGGTGGGGACAGGGAGACAGAGCAATAGAAAAATAACTGAGTGGTTGACGTCAGGTCACTTCAGGTTGCCTTTTGTTGTGTTAGAAGAATAAATTTAGGCAAATTAAATTTAACAAAGTTTAATTTGAGCAAAAAAAGAAAAAAAAAAAAAAACTCCTACAGTCAGAACAGATTCAGAGGGACCATGGCTGAAAATGCATGGTCAATTAGATTTATAGACAGAAAAAGGGAAGTAAAGGGTACAGAAAAAGGGATGGAGGTGCAGAACAGTTGACTGCCTGCAATTGGCTGAGATTCAGCTATGATCACAGAAACACACTTCTAAGCTAGGGTTCCAATTTGCTCATGTGCTTATGTGCTAAGTTAGAATGCCATTTGTATGTAATAGCTCAAGAGTGAGAGTATGGGGGCTTTCCCAAGCCAAAATTTTTTAGTTTAATTTAACAGTTTAAGGATTAAAACAGGGAAATTCATTATCATGCCAATTGAAGACTGAAACTTGCCTGTTTGGAAAACTGGCTGTTATGTCTCCTGATTTCTTGGAAGGTCATCAACTTAGTTTGAGTTTGGTACATGGAGCTTTTAGCATGGGTGTCTCCATTGTGAATTTTAATGTTGTCCGTTGGGACCTAATGCAGGACCTTAGTGCAAACAGTGGCCTCCTATAATTTTATTTAACATTTCCCCCCTTTTGGTCAGGCTCTCACCTAGATGAGAGAGTCCTTCTTAGGTTAAGGTGTCCTCATCATGCATTTCTTTGAGTTTTGTCATTCCAGCAACATTTGACATTCAATAGGTGGCTGTATGTAAACATTTGAAGCTTTTTGAGAGGGTACAGTACTTCAGGGAGACTACTGTTATGACTATGAGGAAGAGTGTGGAGTATACTGCTTAGCCAGGGTCCCCATGATCCAAACCAACTATAATAGACTACAGAACTAGTCAAATAAGGCATCCACTCTTTTTAACCAAGTAGCCTGTTTGTTAATTTTTTTGCAACTGAGTTTCTACAGTACCTGATATATTTATATAAGAAAATAATCTAAGTGATTCATTTTCAGAAATGACTTATCTGAGGGTGTTTTAACTGATTCAGGCCCAGCCCAAAAGTTGTCTGACTGGTCCAGCCTATTAGAGTTCTCCTTGAGATGGTAATTAGTTACTAACCCTAATTGTTTTCTTCATTCCCTGGCGTTTCTCCTTTCACAGAGCTTTAGCAGGCCTTTTTTACAGGCTTGTCCTGAGCACTCAGACAAAGAAATTTCTTACAAGGAGTAAATAAATCCAGGTAATAAATCTTATGCGTCATCTGGGAAGATTGTGCATCCCATAGTACTCTCAGCCAATGAGGAACTGGGGGAGGGACTTACTAGGGAATAAATTGCTTACTACAGCCCTTTTTCACATGCCTGTCCCATTCACAGACACATGGACTTGCAAATCCATTATTAAAGTCTCACTTCATCTCCGTGTTTGTCCTTTGTCATTGGATGGTGAAGGCATTTCTCACATTTATGTTGTGAGTTTGTTAATACTTGGTCATGATGTATTATCCCTTTATTTATTTACTTTTTTTTTTTTTTGGTGGCTGGCTCGTCCGGGGATCTGAACCCTTGACCTTGCTGTTTTCAACACCATGCTCTAACCAACTAAGGTAACTGGCCAACCCTGTATTAGCCCTTTAATATCTTGTTAGATTTGGTTTGCTAAAATTTATTTAGAATTTTTGCATCTATGTCCATGGGGGAGTTTCGGTTATAGTTTTCTTGTAATAGAAGCTTGGAGATACAAGAAGGAATACAAATAACAAAAAGTGTTAAAATATGGGTAAATCTGGGCCGGCCCGGTGGCGCACTTGGTTGAGTGCGGCGCTTGGGAGCGCGGCGGCGCTCCCGCCGAGGGTTCAGATCCCATATAGAGACCGGTCCGCTCACTGGCTGAGCGCGGTGTGGGTGCGACACCGAGGGTTGCAATCCTGTTACCGGTCACGAAAAAAGATGAAAAGGAAAAAAAAAAATATGGGTAAATCTGAATGAATATTGATTGTATAAAACAATAATAGTCTTATGAGGTTAAAATACAGTATATTTATAACAATAATGCATGATTATATTGGTATATCAGTCAGGGATCTTATGTAGTTAAAGTATTCTAAGGTCCTTTTCTTTTACAGGAAGTAATAAAAATACTTGCTTTGGATTGAATTGTGTCCCCCAAAAGTTCATGTATTAATCCCCACTGTAACAGTGTTAAGAGGGTGGCAAATCCTATTATGGTAATTGAAAGGTGGGGCCTTTAAGAGGTGATTAGATTGTGAGGACCAAGCCCTAGTGAATGGATTGATCTATTCATGGAGTAATAATGTTACCAGACCCAAGTCTGACTGCTCACTGTACAACTGGCCAATAAGTTGAGAGAAGAGATGTTGAGTCAAGGAAAAAGGCTTACCAAGAAGATGGGGGACTAAAAAGTCCACAGACCATTTTACAAGTCTGGGTCCCGGCAGAGAATTGAAAGGGGAAGGAGGAGGGAGAAGGACTTCTGCAATTTAGCTGGCTAGGCTCAGTCATCGAATGCAGAGTTAGCAAGTCCATCTCTGGCTGCTTATCTTGAAACTGCTCCTGCTGTTCCAGATGGTGTCTCAAGGTTTCTTTCTTTGTTCTGTTGTCAGGGTCGTTCAGTTCCCAGATTCAGCATCTCCATGGGGGCTCGGCTCCTGGAATCTGCTTGTGGCTGGCTCAGCCTCCCCACAGACCAGACTATAGCCGTCTGGGTGTCCATCTGCTCCCTGCTCCTGGAATCTAAACACGTCCTTGTTAGCTTATAATAAAGATGAACTCTTACAGGCTTTTTTTCCCTGTTCCCACATGCAGACCAACGGGTTTTGCACACTGAAATAGGGGTTTGCTTTTCTACTTATTTGTAACTCTCATTTTTAAAATGGAGTCAGTGCTGTTAAAATAAGTTGATGGTTTAATGGGTGGTAATGGGCATGGTTCTGATGGCTTTATAAGGAGAGCAAGTGAGCAGGTTAGCTCCTTCTTGCTCAGCCATTCTTGCCATGTGACACCCTGCATCACTGTAGAGCCACCACTGAGAACAAGGCCCTCACCAGATGTACTCCCAGACTTTGGACTTCCCAGGCTCTGAAACTGTAAGAAATAAATTCTTTTTCTTTATAAATTACCCAATTTCAGGTATCCTGTTACAAGCAACAGTACTCATTTTAATTAGAGTTTGATAAATCAAGGATATATTTAATAGTCCCTAGGGAAATCAATAAAGAAATTAAAGATTGCATAACTACCAAAATACTAAAGGAGAAAATGAAATAATGAAGTATAATCCTTTAAAAGAAAGGAGAGAAAAATACAGCAAGCAGGAGAATGCACATAATAAGAGGGTAGATTTAACCCCAATTGTATCAATAATTATATTAAATAAAAGTACCCATTCCTGATGGAAACATTCAAGAGCATAGAAATGTATTATTTCTTTGTATAGGGGCTTTAAAAAGTTCATGGAAAGGTTCATATTATCTTCTAATTCTACTTTTCTGCAAACTTTTTGAAGTACCCTTGTATGTAATTATATATATAAATATAAATATATGCACACATATATACATATACATGTACTGATCATTCTAAAGCCAAGATCTTACTAGAGGCATTTCTAGAAGAAGGCAAGGATGCCCACTATCTACACAACTGTTCAGCCTTATGTTGAAGATACTAGACACTGCAGTTAGATATAAGAAATCAATCAGTAAGTAGCGTAAGAATTTAAAAA